TATAGACAATAAAAAAGGAAAACACCTTGGTAGGAATAAAAGTAAGTTTAGCATTACTTAATTCTGCAAGAAAATTTACTTCTTACTGGTTACTAAAACGCACTTTAAACTAACTTTAATATTTTTATTTATTTCTAAAAAATAGAAATAAAGGAAAATAAGGAATGGAAATCACTATTGTTCTCTCATCCAAAGGTTTCCTTGTCTTCCTTTTCTTCATCAGATAATTCTTGAAGAATGCAAGCAAAATCAGCTGGTTGCACATATTGTTTTGCCATAAAAAATATAAAACTAACAGAGCCAAATGTATTCAAATTAAAATATTACACGGCAATTAATAACACGAACTTACAAAATATTTGACAAAAAAAATATTTTCCGAATTTCACCCATGACCACGCGCGTGTCATAACGTTTACGAAAAAGCTGCCATTTAGCACAAAAGCTCAGGAAAAAAGAATTCAAAAGACTTCTTGTTGGCCCATTCCATGATGTGGGGAAGGGTAGAAAAAAGGAATAGAAATGACATTCAGACGTCTCAGCTTCGATATGCGAAAAATCTGCATTAAAACTGAATTTTTCGTAAATTTTGCGCATATGCGCGTGCTGGAAGTTTAAAGATGAACTCGATTTAACGTAGTTCCTTTGAATGGAAGAATGAAGTTGTAGAATTATGATATATTTCACGAAGTTACATAATAGTCTCATGGTTGAATAAAATAAGTAAATCTTTGTTTGTACCTTCTGAAAACTACAGTTCTTTTAGTAAATAATTTTGAATTAATTTGTTTTTCTTTCATTAGTCGGGTCCACTAGCGGCCGAGCATTAAAATCGCTGAACGCTGATAGTTCTGACCCTGGGTTCGATTCTAGGGGAACGGGCTGGATGCATGTGCCGTTTCGTGGTTTCCCTCATGCGTAGCATGTATGCATGGCAGTTTTCCTTATAAAGTCCTCCACGAAGGCATTCCTTTCCTTAGAAAGACAACCCTACAGTGCTTTGCCATAATCAACTAAACGAACTCAACCTTTCATTCCTCAACAAACGACTTTTACATTTGTTAAGAAATAATATGAATGATGAAATCACAGTACTGAGATTTCACACCTCTTTCAGTAAAGGTGTTATCTGAAAGTTCCTTTATAAGAACTATATTTTTCTTAGTTCCCTAAGCAAACTGAAACCGTGTCTGCATATCTGTAGAAAATTGAAATTGTCATATCTGTATAAATTGTTAGCTGGAGATTTGGACATATCTTCGGTAGATACTGAAATTAATTTTAAATACTTTATTTGCTGTTATTGCTTAACAGTAAATCATTATTATTTCCAGTTTAAGATTTTTTATGATTTGTACTGCCAAATATGTTCTAATATATGTTGCTGTGATTTCCCGTTATTTGACTGAACAAATTATACAACAGTTCTAATAACTATCGCATTTATTCACATATTTCTTCCCTTCGCGTAATTCTTCCTCTAGATTTTTAACATAAATTAGAACATGATTTATATTATGACTTATAAATTTTTGATTTAGGGTGACAATGCAAAATTTACACACAAATAGAAAAGTACATTGTGTAAGTAAAAAGAGTGTTTAGTAAATATAAGTCCTTTGAAATACATAGTATGATAATATTAGTGAGTCTTTATGTATGCTTTTTAATGTGCTATGTTTATCATTTAAGCCGTCTCTCCAGAAGAAGAATACAGTACGTATTTTCCTACTCCTGATTTTCAAGCTGTAAAATTAGAAGAAAAGGCAGAGAAACAAGCGAGTAAATACAGTATTTAATTAAAATGGTGCATACATTTTGTTTAAATATCCTCTAGAGAGTATAATGGATTTTCTTTTTTACATTTGGAAAATTAATTACTGATATTTAGTCACTGAAATTTAGTAATTTATTCAATGAATCGAGATAGAAAGTTATATTGGAAAAAAAAATCTGAATTTAAATTAATTTAAATATTAATGTTTATTAATGACCTCGTTTATTAACAGTTATTGTATTTAATCGATGTACTGGCGCATATTTGAATTTTGACTTTTTTCCATATCAGTGAGCTATTAAGTATAGCCAGAAGGCTACCTTGAATAGTGCTTAGGAGCGAAAATCAGCTCTGAACTTTTTTTTATTTTTTATTCTACCTCAGTTTAATGTTTACTAAATCATGAGTTTATCATGCGACTGATACTTATTTACTTAGTACCACATAGCTTTATTACGATCTTTAGTGATATTGGAAGATATTAATTCCTATTAATAATAAACTTGAGTTTCCTTGCTACTCGTTATTAATATGCAGTTATTGATTGATTAATAAGAAGTCTGGCAAGTGCAGTTCGAATTGGAATTTAATGTATGGATGGTGATCTAAGCAATATTTCTAAGGTAATAGAGAAAAATACGATAATAAAGCAGCTTAACTATTTAAACTTATATTTAATCCTCAAATCTATTTAATACAATATAATACTTATACTCAGCAAAGCACTTAGCATTGCGGAGAAGGAATGTATTATTCAAAAGCTAAGAGATAATGCCTTTTGGAGAATTATTTTGCGTTTAAATAAATATTAAGTATAGTTTTGAAGAGAACTATGTACCTGCGCTTATTTACAGCTACTTAATGATATTTTCCTTTTATTCTTTCTAGAACTGTGCTGCAATTCAGAGATAAATGATGAATGAATCCCCTATAGTATTAATGAGTTAAGTTCACAATATAGTGTATTTTCAAGAACGATATTTAGACTTAAAGCTTCGTTAAGCCCCCCCCGAGTGTATGACAAATAGTGTTTATTTTAGCATACGTTTGTATATTCGCTTTTTGGGTAGGGGTATCTTGTAGATTTAATTTCCTTTTTCTCTTCTAACTTTTTTCTTAAGACCAATTTACTTTGCGAGAAATGCTATGCTTTTTATATTACAAAATGTTCGTTTAAAATACTGTCGGGATGGTTATTAGAATACTGCTGAAATGCCTATTTAAAATAAATATCAAAACCTTTTCAAGGCTAAAATATTTTATAATAGCTATTACTGATTTCTTTCAGAAAGTATTTTTTGTGTGTGTTCCTCTGGAAAGTTCAAATAAACAAAAAACGGAACTAAGAGTAGGTATGCGTTACGCAAAAAGAACTGGCGATTAGAAATCAAATTCCTTAAATGCCATTTAAAAAATTACCTATAATTATCAATTTGGAAACAAGAATGTTTATCTCAGTTAAAAGGTCAAAAACCTTTAAATTTTGTAACAGATCTGCTCCAAGTAAATATGTTTCTAAATGTGGAGCATTTCAGTAATGCTACTTAGAAGGAGTAACCCTTATACCAAAATTCATGAAGATAAAAGTGCTAAATTCAATAACTAAAATCTTTTTATCATTTTAGTATTTTATGAATTAATCATTCAAAATATTTCTAAATTTTAATATTGAAACAATTTTTAATTTCATGAAGTTTTATTACTTGAAAATTTCAATTTTCATTACAAAATTCAGTAATGTATTAACCAATGGTAAATGCAAAGACAGTAAATAGTTGGGACATAAGGTATTTCTCCCGCCTTCCTAGCGTGCCTTCGTGGTCAGCACACTGAGTCGATATTTCAGAGCTCCGTGGTTCGATTCCCGGCGAAGGTGATTGCTAATTTTTCATCTTTCCTGCCTCCAAAAAATCCTGTCTCTACAGTGGCGCCCGAACTAAAACGGGTGTTGGATGATAATTCTCCTCATCCAGGATTTGGCGATGGGTCCCTAAAACCCATCGCCTTAAAAGGGGAGTAATGGTTGTTGCGGCAACAGCGAACTATTAAAATAACATTACCCTTTTTGTGAATGGCATCACTTACGTTTTTTGTATTTATAAATGTCTTTTGCTTGTTCTATACTTCATGTTTATGTTAGGAAATAAATAAGTATAAAATACTATCTCCTAATATCTGGTGCCGAAAAAACCATTTACGAAACAGGACCTTGAACTTATACTTCCTACTGTTGGATTATTCTTGCTGAATTATTTTACTTCCGACATTAAAACTTAGTTTTGTTTTTGTTCTTTTCTACTACTCGGGCAATGGCGCCGACCGGTGAAGCTGTAGACAAAATGACGCAACTGAAACGAAAGCGGAAAGCCGTGCGAAGTAATGTTTCTCGCTTTTCTACTGAAATTGATACTTTGAACGATGATTTCTCAATTGAGAAAGTTGAATATATTTGTAATCGCTTAACAACTGCTTTAAATGATATGAAACTAATAGATAACGAAATTCACAACTTCCTTTCTGACGATGAATATGAAAGTGATAATTTGCAGTGTGAAAACTACATAGATACTGGTGAATCCGCAATTTTCAAAGCACGAAAAATTATTCAAAATAAATTATCGCCAACTCCAAATAATGTTACTGCTTCGAATATGGATACCAATGATTTAGCGATGACATTTGGCGACCCTCCTACTACAGTGCCTATGACTCAACCATATACAGTTAAATTGCCAACAATTAAACTACAATCATTTACAGGAGAAATTGAACAGTGGCAATGTTTTTGGGAACAGTTTAAATCTTCTATAGATGCCAATCCACATCTTTCTGTTATTGATAAACATGTTTTCCTCAGAGGTTATTTAGATGGTGAAGCTAAACGCCTTGTTGATGGAATTAGTGTAATAGGAGACACCTATGAAACAACAAAAAAATTGTTGGAGGAAAGATATGGAAATAAAGATCGAATTATCCAATCACACACTTAGATTACTTAGAACATTTAAATGTTATTCAAGACCCATCTCCTACGCATCTAAATGATCTTTACATAGAATGTAACAGAAGAATTCAAGCTTTAACTGCTCTGGGTGAAAATATTGAAGCATACGGTAGAATCCTAGTGCCAAAAATTATTCGTGCATTCCCCAATGATATTTGTTGCCGCTGGATTATCTATGCCAAGCGTGAAAAACTAAACGAAGGTAATATTACTAGATTGATGCAGTTCTTGGCAGAAGAAGTGGAAGGTGGAAGTGGAGTTGTAGTTGCAGCACAAAGAGTTAAAGGTACGTCTTTTTCTGATCACACCGTAAAGTGCACTGTAGAAAATTTTAATATCAATTCCAAAACAGTAAACAAACGTAAGAAAATTTCACCATTTTGTTCATTTTGTGATACTACAGGACATTGGCCTCAATATTGTGAAACTGTTACAGACTATGATACTCGTGTTCAGAAACTTAAAACTTCAAATCGCTGCTTTCTGTGTACTAACCGTGGTCATAGAGTTTCAAACTGCCCAAGAAAAAATACTGCACGGTGCACTAAATGCAAGAAAAGGCATCATGTTTCTATTTGTCCTCCTGTTGAAAACAATCAACTGCGGATAACTAACAGTGCTGTAAATCAAATCACATAACCTTTCCTAAAACAATTTTCACACATTTGCAAACTGCTCGTGTGTATGTTACTGGCCCCACAGGCATTACTAAATTAACACGCTGCATTTTAGATGGTGGTAGCCAAGCAAGTTTTGTTCACACAAACCTCATTGAAAAACTGAAGCTTAAAGTTGTCAGTTCTGCCTCACTTTCAGTTCAAGCATTTGAATCTTTTACTTCACAAGAACAACGTAGATGTGTTCAACTGTCACTTTCAAGTTTGTGGAGCAACCAAGCATTTTTGATCTCCGCATTTGAAAGCTCCAATTCCTATACTACACATCCTACTGCTCCACCAGAAATAGTTCACTTTGCTCAGAAGAAAAGATTGAGAATTGCTGATCCTCCGGATGACTCTTCACTGCCCATAGAAATACTTATTGGTGGTGATCATTATTGGCAAATTGTTTCCACAGAAGCTCCAATCAAGCTTTCAGAATCTTTTGTTATGGTACCGTCAGTGTTTGGATGGGTTCTTAGTGGAACAAGAACACATACTACAATCGCTGAGAAGACTTCTGTCCATCAAGTTTGTGTGCAAGTTAAAACTGATTGTTTAAATGATCAGGTACGTCGCTTCTGGGAATTAGACTCCATAGGGATACAAGATGCGCAGAAACGAAGAAATGACTACTCGAGATGAAGAAATTTTATCAGAATTTCACAAAACTTACAACACTGAAGACAATCGAAGAATTGTGTCTCTGCCTAGAAAACCATTGGTCACACCTTTGCCTACAAACAAAATTATAGCGGAAAACAGATTTCATTCTCTTCAAAAAAGACTTGCATCTAGTGATGTGTTAAAGACACAATATGACAAATGCATGCTGAATTACATTGAACAAAAGCATGTTGAAGTTTGTTCCATAGATGAATCCAATGAGAAGCCAGTATATTACCTTCCTCATCATGCTGTAAGAAAGAAAACGCAATCTGAAACCAAGTGGAGAATTGTGTTTGATGCTTCCTCGCATGCTCCAGGAATGATTTCACTGAACGATACCTTGGAAGCTGGCCCGAATCTTCTTCCTGAATCTATTGGTTGTCTACTAAGATTTCGATTGCATGAATTCGCTGTTACATGTGATGGTAAGCAAGCTTTTTTACAGTTGTCACTACATAAAGAAGATAGGGACGTCACAAAATTTTTCTGGTACAAATTAAAATCTGATTCATCTCAACCTACTACTTTTACAGATGAAATAACTGTTTACAGATTTACTCGTTTACCATTTGGCCTTTTTTACTCTGTGCTGCGACACGAGAATTGGCTGCAAAACATATCGCAGAATTTCCAATTGCTGCACCAATGATAGATAAACATCTCTATATGGATGACTTTCTTGCTAGTATGGAAACTGAATCACGCATTATAATGCTATATCACGAGATCAAGAATTTAATGGCTCTAATAAAAATTGCCTATGGAAAAATGGGCTACAAACTCTTTGAAACTCAAAGATGTACTACAAACACATGAAGAATCTCACAAAACGGAAACAACTGTCTTAGGTATTGGCTGGAATACAACTTCTGATACTTTGAAGCATGCATTCAAGACTTCCCTCTGTGTTTCTACAGACAAACCACTTACAAAGAGATGGTTACTCCGCTGCATTGCTAGTTTTTATGATCCCTTAGGCCTTTTTTCACCGTTTACTATTCTTGGGAAAATCTTATTCCAAGATACATGGATTCTTGGAATCAAGTGGGATGAATTACTACCTGCTAATTTATCAACTTTATGGTATGCAGCTGTGAAAGAACTTGATGACATTTGCTCCCTTCAAATTCCTCGATGCATAGGCATTTCATCACATGTTCCTTTTGCTATTCATGTGTTTTGTGACGCATCTGAACGTGCCTATGGTTCAGTTCTGTACATTGTTACCTTTAAAGGTGACCAATCGAATGTGAATTTAGTGTGTAGTCGCAACAAACTAGCTCCTATAAAGAAAGTTACCTTACCTCGTTTGGAGCTCTTGGCGCCCTGATGGGAGCACGATTGTTGCAATATTTCTGTGCTGAAACAAACATCTGTTCGTCAAATGCAACATTGTGGAGTGATTCTCAAGTTGTCTTAGGGTGGATACGCAGTGACCCCAACAAATGGAAAACTTTTGTTAGCAACAGAGTAACAGAAATTATTTCCTATACCAATCCTTCACAATGGAGACATTGCCCTGGCAAAGACAATCCAGCTGACAAACTTTCTCGAGGTGTTTCACCATCAACACTAAAAAACCTGGAAATTTGGTGGAACGGCCCTCCATGGTTAGTCAAATCTCTAGAATATTGGCCTCATTCTGATACTATTTCTAAAGATTACAGTCATAACTTCGAGGCAAAGAAAGAAAAAGTTCAGACCCTTCACATCGTATCTACTCAACCAATCATAAAGGCTGGAAACTACAGTTCTTACGTTCGATTGTTACGTGTAACATCTTGGATTCTTCGCTTTATTCACAACTGTAGGAAACAAGAAAAGTTAGTGGGTGAGTTACATGCCACAGAACTGAATCAAGCTCGTATTTATTGGATACAGACCGTTCAGAAAGAATCCTTTCCTTCAGAATATGAAGCTCTGTTGACAGGAAAATCACTCCCTAAGAAATCAAGGATAAAACAATTTAACCCTTTTTTCAAGAACAATATTATACTTCGTGGTGGTCGACTACAATTTTCTGATTTATCTCATGCTGAAAAACATCCCATATTATTGGACAGCATTTTCATAGCAAAAATAAAAAATTAAAATTGCTTAAAATTGCAATCTTAATTGGCACAGACATTTAGTTAAATTATTAAATTTATTATTTAATATCACAGTTTTCTGGCCGTACCTATTCTTTTATTGATTTAAAGGCTATTTTCATTTCAAATTAAATCCAAGTTCAAAAGAAAGTTAAAATAAATTACGCAACTTAAGACTGAAGTTTTTGCATGAAGGGAAGTCGTCAGATTTGGCGTTTGTTTTAATAAATAATTAAAAAATCAATTAAATAATTATCTCTGTAGAAGTTAGTGTTTTGGAAGCTTAGAACGGCATTGTGCAGAGCACTGGTCTTAAACTCAAATTGCCTGCGGTGCACTGCACAATCTGAAAACAGTTGACATGCCAGAGCTTTTTTTAACAAATTAAAATTTTTTATTAAAAAATGTTAAAAAAATCTGAATGCTTTCAGATTTTATATTACGTCTAAAAAGGCATTTTTTAACGTTTTGTGTGTTACCTTTATTTATTAAATATCATGTTCTTCGCACATAAACCGCAAAATTCAATTTAACAGCAATAAAAATTTAAAACATGTCTTTAGATGCTTGATAATTCTATGAGATCAAAATGTTTTCTTTTCCACCCAATGTCGCCATTGCTCGCTTTGAAATCATTGAGTTTCTTAATCAATCCAATTCCAATTCCTTTCGCTCGCACTTGGTTTCAACTACACAGAGTTATTACCAAAAGTTCAGAGTTGCCAAAGGCCAATCACGGTAGTAAAATAAAAGAGATGTACTTTAGGTACATCTGTCACCCGGAGGCGTAAAAACTTTCAGAGCTTGGGACTGGCATTCCTGGTCGTGGTGGCAAAAGTTGCATTCAAAAATAACAAAAGTCGTAATTATAAAACATAGAAAAAAGCTGAAAACTATTTACATAAATACAACTACCAAGACGGGTTGTGATGTATGGTGCGGGGTCTTTTGACCACATATTCAACAGTAGGGTCATAGTCGCACAGGCTTCTAATAGAAGCGTGGGAAGAGGTTCTAAGGCTTTCAAAGAAATTATGTGAAGTGATCAAAATTTGTTCATGCATGGCTTTCACATTCAGATCCTCCTGAATTTGAGAGTTCCTCACAAACCACGGTGAGTTCACAATCGCTCTAAGTATTTTATTTTGTATTATGTCTAGTTTAGCACGCTCAGTCTTGTTGGCTGTCGCCCATGCTGGCACTGCGTATAACATAATCGGTCTGATTAAGGACAGATACAGTGTTCTTTTGATTTTTATCGATAAGTTAGACTTCCTGCCAATCAAGCTGTAAAGGGCACAGAACGCAGCATTCGCTTTTTTCCGCTACGGCTGTAACATGGTATTTAAAGGTAAGCTTGCTATCTATAATAACTCCTAAATACTTATAGGAGTCAGCCATCGGAACTGTATCGTTTTTAATTTTGATATCCGTATTAACAATTACATTCTGCCTGTAGCGTCTGTAAAGCACAACACAGCATTTACTAGAATTTAAATTGATTTTCCAATCCTCGCACCATTTCGTAACGATATTTACTTTGAATTGCAGTTTTTCCATTGCAAGAGGCGGGCTGACAGAATCCGTAAGTACGACCGTGTCGTCGGCGTATTTTAGAATCTTGGAATCCAAGGGATTTGGGAGGTCATTTATAAATATATTGAAAAGACAGGGAGCGAGGACTGCTCCTTGCGGGACACCACTGTAAATTATCTTTTTCATGGAAATTGCATTTCCACACTTTACTTGGAATGTTCTACGGTAAAGATATGAGATCATAAGTTGAATAAAGCTGACCGGGAGCAGGAAATTGCTGAGCTTATGGATAAGTCCTGCGTGCCACACTCGATCGAATGCCTTTTCGAAATCGAGGAAGCACGCAGCGACTGCCTTCTTTTTTTGAAAGTTGCCTGCAATATATTCAACCAGATTTAAAATTTGATGCGTAGTGGAATGACCGCTTCGAAATCCAAATTGCGAACTGTCGATGAGGTCAAGTCTCTCAAGGTGATTGGTAAGTCTGATTTTTAGAACTCTTTCAAAAACCTTTCCCAAAGCAGGAAGCAGACTAATCGGCCTGTAACTAGTTATTAATTTCGGGTCTTTACCCGGCTTCGGAATTGTAATGATGATGCTGTGCTTCCATTGCTGGGGAAAATATCTATGTCGTATGCAGGCATTAAAGATTTTCACGAGAAGCACAATACACTTTCTTGGGAAGGGCCTTGAGGGCGTCATTACTGATTTCATCAAAACCTCTGGCCTTGCGAACTTTAAGATTTTTGATAATCTGTCGAACTTCTCTGGGGGTGGTGAGATCGAAGTAGTTAGATGGAGTGCTGCATTTAAGCGAGGTAACGGAGTATTGAATTTCTCTTTCATGCTCGGTATCCTCTTCTGGGTGGGGCTGGAAAAACTTTACTTAATTCTTCTGCCATTAAGTTCGCAATTTCAGTCTCAGAATGGTGTATGTTACCCATGTGATGAATTGGAGTAATGCTATTGGTCCTTGTGGTTCGAAGCGAGCGTGCGATTCTCCAGACCGTCCCTGGCTGCAAGTCAATATTTTCCAGCAAAGAATTCCATTTTTCAGAGCGGAAATCCTGAATTTCGCGTTTGATTTCCCTGTTAAGATAATTAACAAGTCTCTTATCTCTGGGGTTACGGGATAATTGCCACTGCTTTCTAATGCGATTTCTCCGCTTAATAATGTCCTTAATTCTTGTCGGAAGGGCGAGATGACTTTCAGAATTCCTCGGCGAGGAAGCGTTTTTAATGGCATTCTGCATTTTGTGAGTAAAAAGGTAGATTTGATTTTCGATGTCACCGCAATGGTTAAAGCTGCAATTACAGGGGTAATCTCTGAGCTGCTCTGTGAAGGAGTTCCAATTTATTTTATAGGAGATCTTTTTTAAAGGCGGATAAATTCCATAAAAATCAAACGTGACCGGGAAGTGGTCCGATGACAATTCTTCGTGCACTTCAAGTAGTGGAGTCGTACTAATGTTCTTGAGTAAGACAATGTCCAAGATATCTCCCACTCCATTATTATGGATGTGAGTAGGTAAGTGAGGGGCAACTAGTCTCACATCGTTCCTAAGCAGATAATTATTTAGAATTCTTCCATTCGGGTTATCCTTCCTAGTGTGCCAAGTATGAAATTTCGCATTCAGATCACCCGCAATGATCGTGGGGTAATTCGTGGACGTCAAAATATTGAGATCCTGTACCTGAAGAAGTCTATTGGGAGGGTTGTAAACTGCTATGAAGAGATAGGCCTCATTTGTGGTGCTATACACTAAAACAGCTGTATGTTCAATAAAGCTAGTAGCAGGGAGGTGGAAAACTGAATGCTTGATGTGATTCCTGATTAAAATAGCGGTACCACCACCACTATTGTGCCTTCTTTCATTTCTGGCGATAGCATATCCTGGAAGTTTGATCTTGTCATTAACTCGGAGTTTAGTCTCATTGATGAGCATGATATCAATTTGAAATTTATCAAGGAAGTTTCCAATTTCATGGAGTTGATGTTTTATGCCATTAGCATTGAAGTAAGCAATTTTCATAAAGCCTGCGTTGGCTGCGATCACTGTATTTATATTTTGTGACGTTTTAAAATTCATAGTCTAGACTAGTAAAATATTCGAAGGCTTTCATGCCTACTTCCAATTTAGCTAATATATTTTTAGCCTTTTTAAATTCATTAAACAGTTCCTTCGCTTTTTGGATTTGCGTTTTAATCCAATCAAAGAAAGTGGGAGGGTCTTCAGACTGTTTGATCCAAGCCGACACTTTCGCATTAGGGTTAACGCTGGGTAGCGCGGGAAATTCATCATTTTTGAGCTCGAAACCTTTCGCTTTAGCTTCCTTCAGTTTTTTTACGATTTTCAATGCTTTTCTGTATATTTTGGATGCTGAGAACATCCCTTATAAGAAGAAACGTGCGGTCCACCACGAAAGGCACAAATCGCAGACTTTTATTCTTTAGTTAGTTTACAAGTATGCGTTTCATGAAATTTGGCGCATTTCAAACAGCGCGCTTTATAATTACACAGGGGCCGTGTGTGACCATAGCGCTGACACTTATGGCACTGCACAGGCCCCGGTCGAGATTTGTAAGTCTTAATACGAACATCAAGTTTTTTCAAAGTTTTAATTCGGTAAATCGTTTTACGTAGAACGTTTCTCTTGCATTCAGCCACAAATAGTGGAAGGGGGATCACATTTCCGTCTTTATAGCTTTTGAGCTGTCGAATTTTCTCAATAGGGATCCTTGATCCTTTATCTCATTTAGGACTAATTCCGTGTTAGTATTTCTGGGGAGCTTCCTGATAAGAGCCTTTATGGGCTTTTCGGAGTTTATCTGAAAAGTGTGAAAAGGAATTCCACGTTCTTTTAGCATTTTCGTGACGGCTCTGTAGTCGTCCGAATCGAACACTTTAATTTTGAGGGTATCTCCGGTCATATTACCCTTAACTTTTTTTAATTCCTTTCGCCTCAATTTCTTCTTTGAGCTTGTTCCAGTTTGCATTAAAATCGTCAAGTATTATAGGGGGAATATGTCCTGCTGTCTTTTTTGGTTGAACAAAATCATTTGGGCTTTCATTGTCTTGATTCGTTTGATCATCTAAGTTAAGATTTTCAAACTTATTCTTTTTCGCTGGGGCTTCGTAATCTGTGTTCGACCGAGTACGCTTATGCTTATTCTCGGCGAAATACAGTAAACTCCAAACATCCCGCAATACTCCCTCTAACAATAATGTTTGGGTCCCGGATTTTGCATATAACTAATGTTATCTCCCCTCTATTGCTATATCTCTAGAACATAAACCTCTGTAAAACGATTTTTTCAATCTAAATTTCAATATTATTTTCTCCCTTATAATATATTTTGATTTTCAAATGCTTTTTTTTTTTTTTTTTTTTTTTTTTTTTTTTTTTTTTTTTCCGTTTTCTTTTGTTATTTTTTCCGTCTATTAAGACTCATTGTGGATATTC